ATTTAGCTACTTGTGCTAGCATATTTAGCTACTTGTGCTAGCATATTATACTAGCATATTTAGCTACTTATATTAGCATATTTAGCTACTTATACTATTTAGCTACTTATACTAGCATATTTAGCTACTTCATTGAGGTGTATCAGTATCTACACAGTAATAAAGTCAGTCGTGTTTTGTTAAAATATGTCAGACACAATCTTATTAACCTTAAATCAGACACAGAGACCAGATAAAGCCTTAAAGTCCTCCATCACTGAGCTTGGGTTAATTACTGATAAAATCATAAAACTGAAGATGAACACATACTTTAATGCTGCTGTTTCCTTCATACACTTGAAATCATACCTGATATTGTCGTCACTGTTTTCAATCCTTCTGAGGATCCAGCGTCTCTTCTCCGGTGGTTTATTGTCCAGACACAAAGTAGGATGCAGGTTTTCCTCCGTCGGCCGTTTGTCAACAAAGTGAAATGAACAGAGAGAGTTTTGGGTGGTCTCTTCAAGTTCACATTTTTCAGCCACGTTCTTCTTAACTCCTCATCTGTAGGTGGGAGATGGAAACTGAACCTCTTTTCACAGGAACACTCTTTGTTTTGTGTCCGTGTTCAAAACTCTGTTGTTGTAGCACTGGTTTAGTTTGGTCTGGTTGTTCTGCAGCCGTGAACACAACAGGTACCTGAACTCAGCACGGCTATTTTAAGCCCCTTATCCACGGGTCTTTTTGGTACTCCTATGTAACTAGTTGTGGCCGATTGCAGGATTTATCAACAATGCCTTTAACGGTGGAACCCACCCCATTTTTGGGACCTAAATCACTGAGGTCCCAGGTCTGGTTCTTTTAGGGTCTAGTTGTGACATCAGCGCACTGTAGGTCACTGATTGGTCAGGGGGCGTATTCATTGGTGGAGGGCGGAGATTCAGTCTTCCACCGGAAATCACAATCCACCATTTTCTTTTTCACCCGCATAACAGACAACAAGAAATCGGAGGAGCTTATTTTGGAATATTTTATAAGGTAAAACAAATAATCATGGCACAACCGTGGTCGAATGCTGAAGTTCAGGCATTTCTCTGTTTGCTGGCCGATGAACAAGTGCAGCGCGAGCTAGATGGAACGAAACGAAATAAAAAGATTTTTCAAGAGGTGTCTGCGCAGATGGCGGTGCACGGCTTCCATCGCACACCAAAGCAAAGAGGAAAGCTTAAAAAACTAATAGCTGATGGTGAGTGTATTTTATTTACTTTAAGCATATTTCCTTTCCCTCATGCAACCGTTTCTTTGCGTTTTCTGAAAGTACTCTGAACAAACGAGGCTGACGCGGTTACGTCGTCATTAGTTAGCATCATTGCTAACTGTACTCTGTTGCTGTTTTTCCACTCTTATTTTGATGCAGAAAGTCCCACTGAACATGAAGGTTCGCCAGATTCTGCTTTTGACTGTCCAATCCTCCCCGCTTCTGACCCTTCCCGACCACACCAGCTCCGAGTACATCCATGCCACCGAGTACATCCATGCCACCGGGCACATCCACGCCACCGGGCAACACGCAGCAGAGCGGCACCAAACAGCACCCGTTACTAGGTAAGAAGCAACAATCGTGTTTAACATCACATTGATCATGTTGATA